TTCCTGCTGCAGCCTGCTGAGTCCGTGCTTAGGGAACCGCCTCAGCCAACAACCCACCAAGCACCATTCCGTCTCCTCCGTGACGTCAGAAGGTGAAGAAAAGAAAATAAAGACAGAAAGAAACCAGAAAGGAGAGAAAGAGAAGGATGCAACTGGCCTGGAGCGATGGACTCCAGAGGCCGAACACTAATGAGCGTGCTGGCACAGTTGTTTTGGAAATAGGCATTACATGCATTAAGGGCACTATGTAAATGTAAATTGTCATTGTCTGTCTCCATTTCTGTGTGGCAGAGCAAAATGACCAGTGCTCAAGGAATTTTTGTCATGACTCGGTGTGGAGTTCAGTAAAAACAAGTCCAAAGAAAAGTTCCAAATTGTTCTTCTTAAAATGCTCTGGTAACCCTCCTCCTGATATAGACGGCAATGCATGTGTAGACACATGGCAACCATTATTGTTTGTTTGAATTTAGGTCATTGAATTTCTGAGATTTGAGGTGCGAGCTAAACTCATAGCAAAGCTGTTAGTGAGAGGCACCCCTTTTTTTTCAGCACGACTCAGTTAATCAAGAAAGTTTGAGTTAAACTTGTCGGCAAAGTTTGCGAATCAAAAATTGACACAGCTGTATAAACAACATAAAGAGCTCCTGACCTCAGCGCATTTAACTGTTTTAGTCAAGTTTCACATGTACATTTTTTTTTAAAAGAGCTGAGGGTTTGGTCAAGATCTTAGAATATAGGTCATTTATCTGGTTTGTTTTTTATGGAGGTTTTCCTTTCCAGCACTTCTGCTCAAAAACCCGTATGAATTATTTTAACTCCTCAAGCTTGAAACTTTATTTTCCATATATTCACTTGTTAGCTCACCAAGTTCCCACATGTGATTCTCTGTTTCAAATGTCTAACTGTCCAACATTAGAGTTTCCTGCATGTAGCATGACTTTCACAAGGGACTGTCAGCCCAGTATGTATCATGCAGTCTCCAGAAAGATTAATTATTGGTTCTGCTTGTCTTTTGCACTCCTCAACCTCCTGCAGAGTCCTTGTCAACACTGCTCAGTCCTGTCAAATTGCTTTATTGTGCAAGTTTAACATATACATATTGGGCGTCACCTTGGTTGAGTGGTAGCACCGCAGACACTGAACCCGAAGGGCCAATGGGCCCAAGTTTGATTCAGGAACTTGAGCACATAACAGATGCTGATATTTCAGTGCTGGTACTAAGGTGCATTGTTAGAGATCTGTTTTAGAGAGAAGTTAAACTAACTGATTCAGGTGGATGTAAAACCTCCCACGGCCCTACTGAAGGACTATGCTGTTTCTCAAATGTCCTGACCAGTAATCCTCCCTGAAATGCTTTCACCGAAGCATTAATTGTTAATTTATCTCATTTATGGAATCTTACAGCCCATGCGGAGGCCATTCATCCCGATGTGCCTGCGTTGGGTTCTTTCATTGAGCTAATATAGTTAGTTCTACTTGACCCCCATTGCTAAGCCGATAGAATAATAGAATCTCTAGAGTGTAGAAAGAGGCCATTCAGCTCATCAAGTCTGCACCAACCCTCCAAAGGGCATCTTACCCAGACCCAGTCTCCAAACCTATCCCAATAACCCGTAGCATTTACCATGACTGCTGTATCTAGCTACACGTCCCTGGACACTAGCGTTGAAGCTGCATCCACTACTCTATTGGGCATTGCATTCCAGATCATCATCACCTATAAAATGTTCAATTCCCCTCCCCTCTGATACTTTTACCAGTTGTCTTAAATCTGCCTTGTCTCCAACACTGCAACTAATAGAAAGAGCACCCTATTTGCAGCATCGAAACCCTATATGATCTTGATTGCCTCCATTAAATCTCCTTTTAACCATCTCTGTTTTAAGACGAGCAATCCCGTCCTCTTTGATCTCACTACATAGCCTCTGCTTTACTTGTGGGAAGTTGGTCTGTGTCATTATGATTGTAAATATACTTTAAAAACAATTCATTGACTTTGGAATGCATCTTGAGGTTATGACAGGTGCTATATCAATATAGGCTCCTTTTTTAGATCTCGAAGTGTTTCTTCTTAACAAAACTCATCTGAACAAATAAACTGTTGTCTTCATTCTCTTGTTTATCAGGTCTAATGAGCTCAAATGTAAACAGTTCCATGGCTGTTGCCTTGTTGATGGGTCCCCTTGGGTAAGGTTCACCTTTTGACCTGTGACCCCTAAACTGCGGTAAAGGGCAGAAAGATTTGGATTTTCATTGTAAATTCAAAGTATAATGATACAGTTCAGGAAATTATTCATCCTGTCAAAATTTTAACAATAGACTGGATTGTTCCCTGGTATAAAACCCATTCCAATTCTGTTTCATGATGCAAAACTGTTTTAATGTGAATAGACCCTAATAGCATGAGCTTAGCTAAATAATGGTGTAGACACTGCCCAGAGGAGGGAGCTGGCTCTCAAGTTCTGTGCTTAAAGACAGGTGTCAGCCAGGACTGGGCCTGCCTTGTAGATTGTGGCAGGCAAGAAAGCAGAGGGCAGGAACTTCATGGTGCATGCAAGTGACCAAATGGTTAATCGTAAAATGTTTAACTCTCTCTTCTACTCAAGCAATGGCAATGTTGTACCACCTTGAGCAAGTTTAAATGACCCTTTGCTCCCAGCACAAACCTGGCACCAATCGTCTCACAGTGGCTCTGTGCTGTGCTCCTGACACCTGTGCACTATTGTGGCCTAATATGTGTGATCTTCTTGTTTGATGCTTTGGAAATTTCCTTCTGGCCCTCTGCAGCTGCTTAACAAGCTCTTCAACAATGGGCAGTTACTTGGAGACTGGCAGAGTTCTCTCGCGCGCTCTCTCTCTCGCGCGCTCTCTCTCTCTCGCGCGCGCGTTCTCTCTCTTTTCCTCCTGCCCCTCACCCCCAGCCTGCACTTTGGAAACTGCAATGTTCTGGAGGTGCAGGGCTCTAAGACACGATCCAGCAACACACTTTTCAAAGTGCACCCTCACGCACATGGACATGTGGAAATCCTGCCTAATATTTCTGTAGAATGCTCTACAGTAAAATTCAACTACTATTTGAACAAATTAGCTCAGGGTTAAAAGGATTTTTTACCCTTTCGCACTTAATTGCTCTTTCTTTAAGAGCAAGTGCTGTGTGTTGTTTTACTTCTGCTCTTTTATTTTGTCAGTTTATTTAATGAGGCAATGTTTTCCCTCCTTGTTGGAGATTGGCAGTCCAGCTACTGCATGTGTTCAGCTCATAATGTATTCCAGCTTGCCTTCTGCACTAGTATCCCCTTGCTCTGAGGGACATGGGGGTGGGGAAGTGGGGAAGAGTCTGTTTCACTAACAGACTGAAAGGGCATACCAATAAACTTGCTGCTGTTTGCATCGGTGGGCACAGCAGTCGTCAGGAAGGCCAGGGTTTTTAAGGCTCCTTGGATGTTTGTATGGCACTTTAATTGGTTGCTGTTTAGCTCATTTAAGACACTGGCCAGGGAGCTTAATTCTGG